CGCGCCTGGGAGATGGCATCCAGGGCGGACGTGAGGAGCGGCAGAGGATGGCGATCTCTGACTGTGATCTGGTTCAGTCCTCTGTAGTCGATACAGGGGCGGAGATCACCCTCCTTTTTCCTCACAAAGAAGAAGCCTGCGGCACCTGGGGACGACGAGGGTCGAATGAAACCCTGCTGGAGGGCCTGGTTGATATAGTCCTCCATAGCTCTGGACTCGGCGGGGGAGAGAGAAAAAAGGCACCCCCGGGGTGGAATGGTTCTTGGCTGGAGCTTGATCTCCATGTCGTATGGACAGTGAGGCGGCAGTGCGGTGGCTCGCTGCTTATCGAGCACCGCGGCCAGATCCCGATAGGGCGGTGGCAGATTGGGTGGCGCTGAACCGGAGCCACCTTCCGGGCAGTCAGGTCGAGGTGGAGGAGGATAGAGGTGGGTTCGGCACTAAGCCCCCCATTCCAGAAGGCGAGCTTGGGACCAGGAGATCCGTGGGTCGTGGAGGCGGAGCCAGGCAAACCCCAGGATTAGAGGAGAGGAGGGAGCATGGATAATCAGGAAATGGAGGGTCTCCCGGTGGCCCTGGACTGTCATCTGGAGAGACTGCGTTCGGATTTGGACAGGGTCAGGCTGGAGGGGCCTGCCGTCCACCGTGGTCACTGGTACAACCCTCTCCAAGGGGGTAGTGGGGATCCGTAGGCGTTCAGCAAGATCCACATCCATAAAATTGTCAGCGGCCCCCAAGTCCACCAGCGCATGCATCTGGAGCGAGGTCTCGCCATAATCGAGGGTGACGTGCAGAAGGAGCCGATTGGAAAGGTCAGGGGTTGGAGGTGACCCAGGCTGAGCGACCCCGAGACTCAGTGGGTTCCTTCGTTTCCCGGACGGAGGGGGCAGTTCATGCGTCTGTGGTCGGGGGAACCACAATAGGTGCAGAGGCCCTCGCGCCACCGTCGCTGTCTCTCCTCTGGAGGAAGGTGGCCCAGTTGCATGGGCTCCTCAGTGGCAACGGGTCTGGGAGTAGGCGTGGGAGGACGAGGAAAAAGTCCAGGCGCCCTGGATGGGCGAATGAGAGGCTTGGGCCGAACCAAAACCCGCTGATCCATGCGCAACGCCAGGTCCACAACTTCATCCAGGGTCTGGGGTAGCTCCTTTCCCGCCATCTCATCCCGGATGTAGGTTGCCAGTCCCTCCAAGAAGACGGCTTGGAGGACAGAGTCATCCCACCGCGCTTGGCGGAGATGGTGCGGAACTCCGACGCATATGCGCACACAGAGCGCTCCTTCTGGCGGAGTTTTAGGAGTCATGTCTCTGCCCCCATTTCGCTGCTGGGTGGAACAAAAGTCTTTCTGAGAGCAGCCACGAATGCAGCGTAGTCGCTGCACTCCGGTGATTTCTAGTTGTAGAGCGCAGCGGCCCACTCTGCCGCACGTCCGGAGAGCAGGGAGGTGAGCTGTGCCACCCGAGAGCGCGCAGTGGGGAAGCGTCCTGGGTGGCACTCGAACTGCATGTCGAGGGTAGCAAGCAGACCGTCTGGACTCCCCGTCTCTCCATTCCACTTCTCTGGGAGACTGAAGTGTGGCTCTCCCGCCGGTGGAGTGAGGGCTTGCAACTGGAGCGCATGAACCTGCTGCTGGAGTGCCGTGACGGCAGTAGACATCTGCAGGGAGAGATCGGTCTGGGAGTTCAGCCTGGTGTTAAGCTGGTTGACCAGGGCGTGGAGCTGAACGTTCTCGCTAACAACTTGCTCCAACTTCCTCTTCATCTGCTCGAACTCCGCTGGATTAATGGACTCAGTCATCCTGTCAGACTCGAAGACTGGGTTCGGGAGTAAGAGCTTTTATTACTGACTGCTGGCTGCAAGCGGTGCTGAAAAGGCTGACAGAAGGATGAGGTCTGAGTTAGAAAGGTGGAGGTTTAACTGTCTTAGCTTCTGTATACTCTGATCATGGAACACGGTGGAACGATGACTGAGTGAAGAGCCGGTGTGGCGTCTTCTATATATAGACATGGATGACGCAGGTGCAACGTGGAGGGAATCCCCGCGAGGGGCATGCTGGGTAATGGTCCGAGACAGAAGCCGGTCAGCTGGGAGAGCCCGGCCTGAGGGCTTGGACTCTGACAGTGGAGCGCTTTGTGGCATGGTGTGGAAACAATCATCTGATCTTGAATGTGAACAAAACAAAGGAGATGATTTTAGACTTCAGAAGAAACAGGGTGGAGTCAAACACTGTTTCCATCATGGGAGAAGGTTGAGGATTACAAATACCTTGGAGTTCACCTGGACAACAGACTGGACTGGAGAAAGAACAACGAAGCCGTTTACAAGAATGGACACAGCAGACTGCACTTCTTGAGGACGCTTAGGTCCTTCAACATCTGTAGCAAGATGCTGCAGATCTTCTCCAAGTCTGTTGTTGAGAGTGTAATCTCTTCAGCCATCGTTTGTTGGGGTAGCAGCATCAGAAGCAGGGACCTGAAAAGGCTCAACAGCCTAATAAAAAAGGTTGGTTCTGTTCTGGGGACGACTGTGGAACCACTGGAGGAGATAATGCAAAGAAGGATTCTCCAGAGAATCAAGAAAATTATGGACAACCCTGAGCGTTCTCTTCACAAGACTGTCCGACAACGGAAGAGTGTCTTCAGTCAGAGGCTTCTTCAGTTTGGCTGCAACACTGACCGCTACTGGAGATCCTGCCTGCCAACAGCCATTGTAATATACAATAACTCTTTGATGACTTGATTATTATTATTATTCTGAGCTACTACAGCAATCAGTTTCCCTCTGGGATTAATACAGTATTTTTGAATTGAATTGAATTGAATAGAATAGAATTGAAACATGGCGCCTAGGTGGCACAAATGTTAGTTATACTGTACAAGAAAGGATGACAACAAGCCAACTTGCAATACTTCCAAAGTAGATATTTCATCAAAGGCAGGAAACACTAGGAATGTGCAAAAGCATGTGCTCACAAAATACATGATAACTTAAAGGTAAGGTTGTGTTTTGACCCATTCTGGACTAGTGGATTTCAATGCTGCAGCAGCAGGTAACTGCAGGTAACTAATCAGCTAACACTGCCTGTCATGTTAGCATCATTAGACTTTTATACACACTACCAGACTCAAGTGACAGGTCTGACCTGCGGTGAGATTTTTCCCGTCTTGTAAAAACTACACCAGACAAGAAGATGACTCTGCCTTCACAAGGAGCATAAAGGAGAACATTTAGAAAGATCTTTCCAATCAATACCAGATACAATTGATTATTTATCATTAATAAACTGAAAGATATCATGCAGGAGACCATGCTAAATACATCTTTTGCCACCTATTGAACTAATCAGGGGTTGATCAGGAGTTGGATTGATTGACAAAACCAAAAATACCATTGATAATGATAAAAACATGTCAGTCCCCACCCCTTGTTCTAGTGCTGTCCAAATGCGTACAGACTATTTGAAAGACAACTGTAGATTCAGCCTCATAGCTGACTTGTTTCAATGGCTCATGGTAAGACTACTTTTACATTGGAGATGGCATGCCAGGCTAGAGGTGGAGGAGAATGAGAGACCAATATGTAAACAGTGTCTGAAATACATAACACAATATAAAAACACAATAGTTATGGACAGGAGACGTGACTGCGATGGTGGTGCTACAGCCCCTGTTGTCCTGGCGGGGAATTGCTTTTCAACGTTTTCCAGAAAACTAAGAATTCAGAAAGGGAAACATCTGCACGAATAAGAGTGCACCGAGCTGACGGAGGTGTGTAAACTAGACTTTACTTCACTCGGAGAGATGGATGAACATTTCATAGTAAATCTGCATTATGAATAAACATGGACAGTTGGCTGATCTACACGTTATCATCTTGCAGGAATAGAAGCACCATATAAAATAAATATTGTCAGATTTTATACATCCTATTTTTCCTTCAAATCAAAAGCTTTTTTACCTCTGAATAGGTTTCTATGGAGCCTAGCCTTGACAGTATCAGCACTTATAAAGCTTCTATCTGCTAGTTCTTTTATTCGGCGTCCTGCCACCCCATTTACTTTTCTATAAAGCCTACAACTTTAATGCTAGTTAACATTGTGGAAATCAGAATGGCATTTGCTGTTTCTGTGTGTGTATAACGAAACACAGGTAGCTGTTTTGTGTTTGGTTTCTGCATTTGGAAATCCTGATTCATAACAAAACTACGACTCAAATGTTTATATTATTTCTAATTGCTGTCTGGAGTGGTGTGAGACTTCTGAGGCCTTGTGCTGTGCATCCTGTCAACACACAGCTCCCTGTGATCCTCATAGGGTCACAGGGAGCTGGTGTCTGTCTATAGAAGTCATCAAGCGAGAGGCAGGGGACACCCTGGACATGTCTCCAGTCCATCACAAGGATGCATAGCCAGACAAAATAAAAACAGTCAAAATCTCACCCAAGGAAAGTTTAGTCTCCAGAAAGGAATACTGTTGTCTGTGGGAGGAAGCTGAGGTAACCTGAGAAAACTGACTCATGCAAGAGGAGAGCATTCCTCACAGAGAGGTCACTGAGAAGTATTCATACCTGCAACCTCACTGTGAGACAACAGTGCTACCAACAGCGCCACTATGCAGCTCCAAGTTAGAATAATTTATGTTTATAAAATTACATCATTCAATTCATTATTATTTTGAGTGTAAATATCTTTATTTTACTACATTCTGTACTAAGGAAGGTGTGTATTTTCAGTGACAAACATGTTGATGTTTAAACATTAAATGTAAGAATGTCTCCCACCTTGTCATGTGAAAATAAAGTTTTTGTTTTGCTTTTTATTGTTGCCTCAGCCTCGCATCTCTCCATCTCACCTCCCCTTATTTATATGTATCATGTGTTGTGTGTGTGTGTGTGTGTGTGTGTGTGTGTGTGTGTGTGTGTGTGTGTGTGTGTGTGTGTGTGTGTGTGTGTGTGTGTGTGTGCGCGCGCGCTTGCTAACAGTTTTGCCCTCTGCCTAATCTCCAGCTCATTCCTGCAAGCAGCCGAGGAGCCCAGCCAATGCAGACGTTCTGGGTCTGGACCTGCCCTCCTATGGGTACACTCTGGTGTACACCTGTCAGCCAGGTTATTTCCTCTCTGGGGGGTCCGAGCACCGTGTCTGCCGCTCTGACGGCAGCTGGACTGGCAAGGTGCCTGTGTGCAGAGGTACGCTGTTGGCAGAGGTCTGCTGGGGCAGAAGATAGAGAGGGTGATGGAGTAAGAGCGGGATATGAATCGATGTGTGTGGATTAACTGTCCTCTGCATTATCTATTATCTATCTCTATCTATCTATCATCTATCTATCTATCTATCTATCTATCTATCTATCTATCTATCTATCTATCTATCTATCTATCTATCTATCTATCTATCTATCATCTATCTATCTATCTATCTATCTATCTATCTATCATCTATCTATCATCTATCTATCTATCTATCATCTATCTGTCTATCATCTATCTATCATCTATCATCTATCTATCTATCTATCCATCTATCTATCTATCTATCTATCTATCTATCTATCTATCTATCTATCTATCTATCTGTCTATCATCTATCTATCTATCTATCATCTATCTATCTATCTATCTATCTATCTATCTATCTATCTATCTATCTATCTATCTATCTATCTATCTATCTATCTATCTATCTATCTGTCTATCATCTATCTATCTATCTATCATCTATCTATCTATCTTTCTATCTATCTATCTATAATCTATCTATCTATCTATCTATCTATCTATCTATCTATCTATCTATCTATCTATCTATCTATCTATCTATCTATCTATCTATCTATCTATCATCTATCTATCTATCTATCTATCTATCTATCTATCTATCTATCTATCTATCCATCATCTATCTGTCTATCATCTATCTATCATCTATCATCTATCTATCTATCTATCATCTATCTATCTATCTATCTATCTATCTATCTATCATCTATCTATCATCTATCTATCTATCTATCATCTATCTGTCTATCATCTATCTATCATCTATCATCTATCTATCTATCTATCCATCTATCTATCTATCTATCTATCTATCTATCTATCTATCTATCTATCTATCTATCTATCTATCTATCTATCTATCTATCTATCTATCTATCTATCTATCTATCTATCTATCTATCTATCTATCTATCTATCTATCTATCTATCTGTCTATCATCTATCTATCTATCTATCATCTATCTATCTATCTATCTATCTATCTATCTATCTATCTATCTATCTATCTATCTATCTATCTGTCTATCATCTATCTATCTATCTATCATCTATCTATCTATCTTTCTATCTATCTATCTATAATCTATCTATCTATCTATCTATCTATCTATCTATCTATCTATCTATCTATCTATCTATCTATCTATCTATCTATCTATCTATCTGTCTGTCTGTCTGTCTGTCTGTCTGTCTGTCTGTCTGTCTATCTATCATCTATCTATCTATCTATCTATCTATCTATCTATCTATCTATCTATCTATCTATCTATCTATCATCTTTTTTTCTTTTATGAATGTGCATGTTTGACTTGAGGCTCCTTAAGGAATTATGGGGAGTTTCATGCATGCAACTTGTTACAGTTAAGTAGTTTTTACAATGGAAACATCCTGCAGCTGTTGAACCTTGCTGTTTGCCACTACATCTCTCAGACATGCATATTTATGTTCATCTGCAGCCGGATCCAAATCGCAAGAGAAATTTGTCAAACCCGTCCCAGGGACACCGAGCCCCAAGATGAAGGGTACGTATTAAACTATGCAAGCCGTTCAGCATATAGACACCCTTTTTTCATTTGTTTCTTTTACTAAGACTTCCATTAGTCACAGGGATGTGATGATTGTTTGACTGAAGAAAGTTTAATCTAAACCTTCATTAACATGTAGATGGTGGGATTTTATGGTAAAGCTAAACTTATGCTCCAGCATTCATTATTAAATCATTATAAAGTCCTCCTTTTTCCCCCTAATATTTTGAAAACAACTCTGATTTTTAGATGGCATACTTTTTGGGATAAAACTAGACTTTTTGCATGTTTAATTAGCAAAAAAAAACATATTTTAAGGGAGATCATTGTACTTTGTGTATTTTCTATCATGACAATACTTTGTAGCTAGTTTCCTTCGTCTTTTTGTCCCCATGTTTGGTGCTTTTGAATAATCAAGAGTGATTAATCACCACAAAAGCTTAATTAAATGCAATTAGGACTAAAATTGTTATTAGGAAGTATAAATGGTCATGACCGAGGCAAGATCAGCTTCATTAGAAAATATCAGGGCAGCGCAGTAATTAGCCTACATCTAAATTGCACCATACTATGTGCATGTAGCGGGTGACAGATGAACTCATAACATAAATGTTCAGAAGGCTCTGAAATAGCCTCTGGTGTCAGGAGGCACCAGCAGAGACACACTGGACATGTGTTTGTTTAGAATGTTGATTTTGAAATATGCAGATAATTACAGTAAGTGGTGCTCTCTGGCTTCTTTAACCTTAAGTCAGAATAAATCAAAGAGGTCCTAAAGTTTCAAACCATGTTGTTTGTAGCAATACATATAGATTTATATCTATATTTCAAATGTGGTGTAGATTTAGCTTGTTTAGTTGTTTATAATGTAGTATGATGAAGGTTCTCTAATTTGTGGCAAAGGTCACATTTACCCAGCTGGGTCAAGCTGGGTCAAACAGTAACTTTCAAGTTCACAGATTAACCCAGGAGTCATGATGTCTGCTCTATATCATCCACTATCTGCTGCTGTTCCGTTCCAGGAGGAGGACACTTCAAGTTCAAGATAATAATTAAATAATATTATTAATAAAACTCTGATTTTATTACTGTTTATTATAATAATCATAAATGATCACTTGGTTCAGTATAAAGGTATTTTAATTACATGAAATGAATTATTATGCTTTGGATATAATTATGATAGCATATCAGAAGGTCAGTTTCATCTTATCCACCTAACACAGTGGGTTTATCCAGGGTAAACAATAACTGCCATCACATGTTTTTGACGCATGACCAAAAGCTTTTTTGCTGAGAGAGCGGGTGTGTTCTGAGAGCTTTGTAAACTAACCATCACCAGCTTCAGTTCAGCTCTTGATCCAACATCATCCTGAGGAGAAGGGAACGGCCGTCCCTAACCTCTACCTGTTGTTCTGTCACGCCGACAAGAATAGCTAAGAATAAACGTAAACTGTAACCAGCTGACGAAAACTCTTCCCAGAGTTATTGATTTCTGAGTTAAGTTAAGATGCAAAAACTCCTTCAGAGTTACGGACTTTGAGAAGCAAATAGTTCCACCAGTCGAGTGACCCAAGGAGACGTCTCAGGACCGATTTGGCTGTGCTAGAGTTTTTTCTACCAACCTCGTGCCTGGAGGAAACCCATCTCCATCTGGACACTTCAGATCCAAAAAGGGGGTCTTCTGATTGGGTGAGGTAGACTTCGACAGAATGTGTTTGATGCTGTTTTCTCTAAATAAAAAATTCAGGTAGCTGCAAAGCATCATTTCCATCCAGAACGCTTTCTCTCTCTCTGAAAGAAATCTTCTGATAATACCATTCGCGCATCCAAACTCTTAATTTCCGATTTAGCTTCCATCCAGCCACAGGTTTGCCTTTTAAAACAAGTTTAATATCAAAGCTGTTAAAAATTGTCATTAAATTGTCATCCATTAATTGTCGTTTATAACTGTCGTTCAAACCTTTAAGTTTAAAATTGTTAGTAATAAAATTTCTTCATTTTTAAACTTACCTCATTCTTGAATTGAAACACAGAAAGGGGTAATATTTCTGGTTATTGAAAGCAAAGATTCCTACCTTCTGATTCAAAATAAACTTTTGCTATTAATTTTAATTATCTAAATTAAACTTTAATCTCTGGATTAAAAATAGACCAAGTGAATTGGGGTATGAGCTTCTATTGATTATATGTCTCTTGGATATTTACATGATACAAGCTCAGATGCTGATATGCTCTGTCATTCTCAGAATCTAACAACTGATAGCAAACAGTGTTGATTCTAGTATGTAGTTAATTGCTACAATAATCTTATATTAATTAATGGGGGCACCACCAGTTTTATGGAACTGGACCATTTAATCAGTCTCAAAGTTAACACCACAAATGAATCTAAAGGATGAAGTCTTGCCAGAATGTGCCGACTATTCTTGAGGTCACTAGAAATGATCAGGCGTTATTTTCGTTTTGTGAGTTTATTACGAACATCAGTTAATACATTTGACAAATGAATCAAACATGTCTTATAGTTTCATGCACAGAATTAAGAAAATGGTTACACCCAAAGCTTTATGGCACTGATATGAAATAACTGATCTGTAACAAAAGTAGAAATTTGGTGACACACAAGATTATAGTAGAACTGGGAATAATTTCTGAAGTGTGTGTGTGTGTGGGGGGGGGGGGGGGTTAGTATGGGTGCAGGAGGGGGTGTCTTCATGTGTGTATGCAAATGAGAGTTGATGACAGCAGAAAAAAAGAGGATAAATCTTGAGAGCTAACGTGAATTTGAATTGAAATAAAACACGCCATAAAGTTTAAGTCTGAATTCACTTAGCATAAAAGTCAGCCAAATGAAATGATGCATAAACCTGTTTTCCTCGTGCCAGAGGGTAGCCAAAGGGCTGAGGTAGCCTTGGAAGTCCTTGCTCATAGGCCGAGGCTTCTGGGACTGAATAATTATGGCTCCCGGGTTGGTCAACGGGTGTCTGTGGAGTGGAGGATAATGCGTTCCTCAACCGTGGCTTGACTTTAGGTTCCTTCAGCTGCACCGAAACATTGAATTCAGAGCGTGGGTACCGATTAAAAAATGATGCCGGATCGAAAACTGCTCCAAATTAGTCTTAAACTCTTATGGTGGAAACTTTAACGAAAAAGCCGACTTCCGGTTTGACGTAGAAGTTTGTATGCTTCTAAGTTCTACCGTAACTTTTGAGAGCTATAATGACCTGAAATCTTTGAGAGCCACGGCGCTGCTAGGCGAGATGGAAAATCTCCCGCAGGGATTTGTTCTTTCTTCTCTGCTGTCAGGAGGTTTGAACTCTGGCCTTTATAACCTTCCTTGGTCACGCACACATGCATTTCACTCATTAACCACTGGATGACACTATGGCTTTTTCAAATAGCTCAATCTTTCCAACAGTGAAGAGTTCATACCACAATCTACCAAACTTATCCAGATGAGGCATCAAAAGTATTACTTTAAACAGGAAAGAACTTAATTCATGTCTTAAAACTGGACAGTTTTACCGTTAGCATGAATTTTAACTAAAGAAACAAAAATGGCAGATGTTTAACATGAAAGAGGAACACAAACAAGCCTTTAGGTTTATAACTGATAAAAGTTTAGACATTTACTTTGAACACCTCAATTTTTTTAATGGTAAACAACCTAAAACACCTTCTTTGATTGTAGATAACAGAAACACAGGTTTTATAAGGACTCAAGTCTTGAAGCTTCCAGAAAGACAACCTCAGATAAGTTTTACGACCACCCCCATCTTGAGTTAGGGTCAGTCTTGACGGGTTGATGTAAAACAGACCAGTTTCTGATATTGTCCTGCTTTTGCGATTGGTAAAGAAGGGAAACCCAGTCAAATTGGTGCAATTTACGACTCTGGGAGAGAATTATAGGAGATGCCAGATGTGCTGAAATAGGATCTTGGAATTTATGATTGCAGGCCAGTTTCAAATTCCTATTTATTTATTTATTTGTTTATTTATTTATTTATTGCTGTTAAGTGTGAGAGAAAGGAAAGCTTTGTGTGAAAATGGTTGTGTCCTTCTTCATGTGAATCCAACCAAAGTTAATCTGAGATTATGAAATGTGGATTTCCGCTACATGTCGTTGAATGAAAGCAGCTCAAGGTGTCTAATAAAGCAAAACCAGAAACCTGAGCCGTCTTCAACCTGCTTTAGTAATGTTGTAAAGGCCAGTGAGGAAAGGTTGCATAACATGTCACAAACAAGACACACCTCCTTAATCCGCATGACCCAACACATTTCAACGTTAACCATGTAGGAAACGCTAACTGCAGAACAACGCTAGGTCAAGCTACTGCTAAAGCTAACGGCCTTGTTGGATAAGAGGAAAACAGCAACGAATGATGGATCCACAGTCATGCTCCATTATGTACTGGGAATATCCAGTCTTTGGTGCACTGGTGTCATGTAAATAAGGGCATTGATAAGGAACTATGATCAGACTCTCAGGTGCAAATCTAGGTTCTGGTATAGGCCACGGGCTTGAACAGCTACTCATCTAGAAATGTTATGAGTAAAAGACGTGATACAGCCTCACTACAGGCACTTCACTGTGAACCTAAGATGCTTTTTAAACATAACTTATTTAATTTTCATGCGTTAAAAATAAAATACAGAGATCAAAAGACAGATCAGACACTCAATTATCTTTTATTCCTAAATTCCATTATCCCATCTTCGTCACTGATGCTTTCTGATTTTTACCATGATTTTTCTTCTAAAAATATTTCATTTCATGGAGGGTTAATAAAAGTTCAGCAGCTTAAAGGAAAGGACATTAAATTCCAGGAATACAGAAACCATGTTTAAATTTAATAATACACTCAATATTGTACCTGAGAGTCATTACTTTATTAAATTAAAAACAGAATGGTGACTTCTGCGTTGACGAAAAGAGCAACAATAAAGCAGTACTGAAAAAAAAAGATGATAATTTCATGTGTTTTCTAGGAGAATAAATGATTAAGATTGGGCTTTCGCCAAACTTGTGACACTGGGGTTCCTATATACTGTAGTCCAAAGTGGGCGGAGTTTGCTTTAAGATTAGATCTGGTGCAAATGGCTTCTAGTTTGTGCCCAGTAAACACGGCAGCATAGAGACTCACACACACACATGACAACAGTTAACGAAAGGATTCGTAAACAGTACAAATATATCTGATAGAAGGATGAATGGACCTCTCTTCCTCCCCGTACTTCCTGTGATTCTACCACAAACTACAAGCGGTTACCTTTTCTCTGCTCATAACTGACTCTTGAAATCCACAGATATTAGACAATTATTGGCAGTTAATAGTTGTGCTGAAAGAGCTTTTATTACTGTCAAATAATTTGAATGTTATGCTGATTTTTGTGTCATCGTCATATCTGTCTGAATTTCAGTCTCATTAGCTCTGATTGGCTGAACCCATACCGTACAAAGAGTGAATTATCAGCATGTCTAGGGGTATGTAGGGATATTTATCTTATGTTAAACAGGATTTGATCTTTCATCATTTCCTTCCAGTTCCTGACAATGTGTTTGCCCCTGACTTCGTGTGGAGGGGCTCCTATGACTTCAAGGGCCAGAAGCAGCCGATGAGTCTGACAGTGACCAGCTTTAACGCCACAAGTGGAAAAGTTAATGTAACTTTAACAGACAGCAGCGTGGAGTTTCTGCTCTCTGGTGAGTCATCATCTGTCTTCTACCTCCCCCCCTGCACCTCCCCTCTCCTCCCCAGCAGCACCTCTGTATGTCACTTCCATTTATTCCGAAGGTGCCTCGTGTCAATCAGTCATTCACCAAATGATGTCATGCATGAGACTGGAAATTAACTATTGGCTTTAAAGACGGATGAATTAGTCTGCAGCGACTGTCTGCCCACTCAATTTCCCTGTCTCCTCCCTTTCTCTCTCAGCTGTTGTTTTGTTTTCTTCCTGCTTCTATTCTTCCTTTTGCTTTCCTTTCCATCTTTGGGTTTCTGTACTTTGTTTGATTTCCCATTCCTCTCATTTTCTACCTTGTAGGAGTCTACAAACGACAGGAGGCTCGGTTGTCGCTGCTGCTGTACCAGATGAGAGCGTTGGCCTACAGCTCCCTGAGCAGGATTACTGATGAGAACTGGACAATGGACGGATTTGTGAGTGCACAAAGAATCTTTTTATAGAATAAGATTGTTTAATTTAGTTTATTTCATCAAATCTGACAGACAAAGGCAGTTCAGACAACAAAGCCAATATAAATATTCTCTACGATTGGTTACAGCAAGGTTATTTTCTGAAGTAAATGATTTCTTTTTTTTTATGAAATGTTTAACTTTCTAGGACTTGATTAAAATATGTATCTAATTATTCGGGTGCTTTTAATTAATCTTGATTTATTGCATTTTAATCATTGAAGAAAATGTACCCCAAAGCGATTTTCTTACTGGAAATAAGTGTAGTGAGACACTGAATCAAACTATAGATGTGGACATTAATAGTGTAAACTTTTCTTCGTCTTCGTCTTCGTCTTCGTCTTCCTCCGCTTATCCGGGTCCGGGTCGCGGGGGCAGCATCCCAATTAGGGAGCTCCAGGCCGTCCTCTCCCCGGCCTTGTCCACCAGCTCCTCCGGCAGGACCCCAAGGCGTTCCCGGACCAGATTGGAGATGTAACCTCTCCAACGTGTCCTGGGTCGACCCGGGGGCCTTCTGCCGGCAGGACATGCCCGAAACACCTCCCCGGGGAGGCGTCCAGGAGGCATCCTGACCAGATGCCCAAACCACCTCAACTGGCTCCTTTCGATCCGGAGGAGCAGCGGTTCTACTCCGAGTCCCTCCCGAATGTCCGAGCTCCTCACCCTATCTCTAAGGCTGAGCCCGGCCACCCTACGGAGGAAACTCATTTCGGCCGCTTGTATCCGCGATCTCGTTCTTTCGGTCATTACCCAAAGCTCATGACCATAGGTGAGGATTGGGACGTAGATCGACCGGTAAATCGAGAGCCTGGCTTTCTGGCTCAGCTCCCTCTTCCCCACGACAGATCGGCTCAGCGTCCGCATCACTGCAGACGCCGAACCAATCCGCCTGTCGATCTCCCGATCCCTCCTACCCTCACTCGTGAACAAGACCCCGAGATACTTAAACTCCTCCACTTGAGGTAGGACCTCTCCCCCGACCCGGAGGTGGCAAGCCACCCTTTTCCGGTCGAGAACCATGGTCTCAGATTTGGAGGTGCTGATCCTCATCCCAGCCGCTTCACATTCGGCCGCGAACCTACCCAGCAAGAGCTGGAGGTCAGAGCTGGATGAAGCTAGGAGGACCACATCATCCGCAAAAAGCAGAGACGAGATTCTCCTGCCACCAAACTCGACACACTCCACACCACGGCTGCGTCTAGAAATTCTGTCCATAAAAGTGATGAACAGAACCGGTGACAAAGGGCAGCCCTGGCGGAGTCCAACCCTCACTGGGAACAGGTCCGACTTACTACCGGCTATGCGGACCAAACTCACGCTCCTCTGGTAAAGGGACTGAATGGCCCTTAACAGAAAGCCACCCACCCCATACTCCTGGAGCTTCCCCCACAGGGTGCCCCTGGGGACACGGTCATAAGCCTTCTCCAAATGCACAAAGCACATGTGGATTGGTTGGGCAAACTCCCATGCCCCCTCCATCACCCTTGCAAGGGTATAGAGCTGGTCCACAGTTCCACGGCCAGGGCGAAAACCACATTGCTCCTCCTCTATCTGAGATTCAACTATCGATCGGACCCTCCTCTCCAGTACCTTGGCGTAGACCTTTCCAGGGAGGCTGAGGAGTGTGATCCCCCTATAGTTGGAACACACCCTCAGGTCACCCTTCTTAAAGATGGGGACCACCACCCCGGTCTGCCACTCCCTAGGAACTGCCCCGATGACCACGCAATGTTGTAGAGACGTGTCAACCATGACAGCCCTACAACATCCATAGCCTTGAGATACCCAGGACGAACCTCATCCGCCCCCGGGGCTCCGCCGCTGTGTAGTTGTTTGACTACCTCAGCAACTTCTGCCCCCGAGATCGGACAGTCCATCCCCAGGCCTCCCAGCTCTGGTTCCTCCTCGGAATGCGCATTGGTGGGATTGAGGAGCTCCTCAAAGTATTCCTTCCACCGTCCGACTATAGCCTCAGTTGACGTCAGCAGCTCCCCATCCCCACTGTAAACAGTGTGAGCGAGTTGCTGCCTTCCTCTCCTGAGGCGCCGGACAGTTTGCCAGAACCTCTTTGGAGCCGATCGATAGTCTTTCTCCATGGCCTCACCAAACTCCTCCCACGCCCGAGATTTTGCCTCGGCAACTGCCACTGCTGCACCCCGCTTGGCTATCCGGTACCTGTCTGCTGCCTCCGGAGACCCACAGACCAGCCACGCCCTGTAGGCCTCCTTCTTCAGCCTGACGGCTCCCCGAACCTCTGGTGTCCACCAGCGGGTACGGGGGTTGCCACCACGACTGGCACCGGCCACCTTACGACCACAGCTAGCAACAGCCGCCTCGACAATCGCAGAGTGGAACAAGGCCCACTCGGACTCAATGTCCCCCACTGCTCTCGGGACGTGGTCAAAGCTCTGGCGGAGGTGGGAGTTGAAGACCGTCTTGACAGGTTCTTCTGCCAGGCGTTCCCAGCAGACCCTCACTATGCGTTTGGGTCTGCCAGGTCTACGCGGCATGTTCCCTTGCCATCTGATCCAACTCACCACCAGGTGGTGATCAGTTGACAGCTCCGCCCCTCTCTTCACTCGGGTGTCCAAAACATACGGCCGCAGGTCAGATGATACGACTACAAAATCTATCATCGACCTGTGACCTAGGCTGCCCTGGTACCAAGTGTACCGGTGGGCATCCTTATGTTTGAACATGGTGTTCGTTATGGCCAAACTGCGGCTTGCACAGAAGTCCAATAACAAAACACCGCTCGAGTTCAGATTAGGTGGGCCGTTCCTCCCAATCACAACCCTCCAGGTCAAGCTGTCATTGCCCACGTGAGCATTGAAGTCCCCCAGCAGAACAATGGAGTCCCCTGATGGAGTACTATCTAGCACTCGTCCCAGGGACTCCAAAAAGGGTGGGTACTCTGAACTGATATTTGGCCCATAAGCACAAACAACAGTCAGGACCCGTTCCCCGACCCGAAGGCGCAAGGAAGCTACCCTCTTGTCCCCCGGGGTAAACCCCAACACACAGGCAGAGAGTCTCGGGGCTAACAAAAAGCCAACCCCAGCCCTCCGCCTCTCACCCGGAGCAACTCCAGCAAAGTAGAGTGTCCAACCCCTCTCCAGGTCTCAGGTTCCAGAGCCAATGCAATGTGTCGAGGTGAGTCCGACTATATCTAGCCGGTACCGCTCAACCTCTGCCACAAGCTCCGGCTCCTTCCCCGCCAGCGAGGTGACGTTCCATGTCCCAAAAACTAGTTTTCTTGTCCGGGGATTGGACCGCCAAGGCTCCCGCCTTGGTCTGCCACCCGATTCGCATTGCACCGGACCCTTCATGTTCCTCCTGCGGGTGGTGGGTCCACTGTTGGACGAGTCCATGTATCTGGTTCGGGCTGGGCCCGGCCGGGCCCCATGGGCGAAAGTCCGGCCACCAGGCGCTCGCTAACGGGCCCCAACCCCAGGCCTGGCTCCAGGGTGGGACCCCGGTAACCCTCCGGGCCGGATACTCCGACTCTTCGTTTTAACCGCCATGAAAGATCCTTCGAACCGTTCTTTGTCTCACCCTTCACCTAAGACCAATTTGTCATGGGAGACCCTACCAGGGGCACTAAGTGCCCCAGACAACATAGCTCCTAGGATCATTAGGGCACTCAAACTCCTCCACCACGATAAGGTGACGGTTCAAGGAGGAGGTGTAAACTTTTATTTTCCAAAAATCAAAAAATAAAAGCTTTTCAAATGCATTTCAATTCAATTTCATGCAATTGACCTTTGAGTCAATTGCATGAAATTTCACAACAGTAAAACTGGCTAATTTAAATGTGTTCATTTTTAACTATTAGTTTTTACATTAATAATCATAACTAACACGTTCAATTCCCACCCCTACTTTCTATACATCTCTCTGTCTTTCCACCAAAGCTACATAAGTCGTTACGTGTGACCTATTCTTCATCTTTTTTGGGTCCATCGTAGACTCGGCTGACCTCTGGGAGACCTGCAGCAGCTCCAGGATGATTTCAGTTAGAGGAGCTGAACTTTCTGCTTTTTTAAACTAGAATAAACTTCAAAGTGCCTTGAATAAAGCCTGTGACAGGTGACTGCACACTGCTGAGCTATTGATTGCATGCTGCTCAGCTTTTATTGTGGAGTGCAATTTCAAAAGTAACAAAGGTGTTTTTTTTATAGTGTAGCATGACAAAACGTCCGGACCAGCTTATGCCATACAGTATATCTGCGGTTTTTGATGTGGAGTGGAATACGCTCGACTTGTGCCGAGGTGCACGGAAGCAGCTTGTGTAGTTGAAACAAAGCGTCCTGTTCCTGCAGCGGTGTGCTTTGTGTTTTAGGTTTCGGCTGAGCCTGAGGGTGGAAGCTTCGTGTTCCAAGGCTTCATACAGGGTAAAGACTATGGGCAGTTTGGGCTGCAGCGGCTTGGTAAGCAGGTTTTAATAATAATAAACTCACACTGCCATTAATGTCTCGTCCTCATCTCCCATTTCACGCAGTAGAACCAAAGATAGTGGTGACATTTAAATCCAGAAATCCATTTAATTTATCGTTACTCCAAGGTTAAGCTACACTTTGCAGAATGATGTGAGGCACATGCTCACGGTTACTCTCAGATTGGGGTTTGTATGTGCTCAGCATGAAGAAGAAGGTTGCAGGAGTTTATATTTATGTTGATTATTTGGGGCTTCTTCGTGAGCTTTTCTATGATGGATTTGCACGCTTTACTGTTCTAAACTATTCTGTTTATCATGATTTGCATTAATGCAGCTTCTGTTGACTAAAATGCCGTTTCAGCACTTTTTCTTCTTACTGTTTAATAGAAGCAGTTTGTTTCGCTGCAAAGTGACTGAGCAGGAAAAATGTTTGTGACGATTCTAACTTTTGCACAAAACCTTTTCCCTAAACACCGAAAAGTGATTTAAAGCAGAGTGGACACTGTGCGACTTTTTGATATTTTTGAGTTTTACATTGTGCGTCGAGTCGTATACAGGGGGTTACGAGGGTCGGTTAACACCTCATGAGCAGCTCCTGATCAGCAATCGTGCACACGCATGGATTTCAGGAGTGTTTGATATTTTGCTTGTGAAACAGCACTGCAACCCAAAAGTACCAGAACTGCTCACCCAGCGCATGCACCAACCCAGCTCCGCAGGTATTTCTGTGTCAACACACGTCGTTTTCTTTTATTTTTACACTCTACTCCACACACAATCACCAGGATTGTCAAGAAAATGAGTTTTCCATGTTTATGTCAAATAAAACAGATCCCAAAACAATTTAACTTCCTTTCTTTCATCTTCCATCTCCAACCCCTGTAAACCCATGCGTTTCCACCTCAAGCCTGAAGAACAAATGGCATAACAACACAACCGCCTCCAGATCTGCTGGGATTTGGGGCTCAGAGGTCCAACATGTGCTAAAACTACTATTTTAGCACATTTTCAGGTCCGATGTGTTGCCATCAGAAATCAGTGTGAGCAGCATTAGGTCGTACAGTGTGAGAACATGACTCATGAGATTTACTCTGCAACAAAGTCGTACAGTTTGAGATGGAGCCGAATGCCACGAGTGAAAAAGTCACACAGTGTCCTTAAGTGGGTTTATCTGGAAAGGTTATGAGAAATAAAATCAAACCTGTTTCAGAAAGAGAAAAAACCTCTGATAAAACCCTTCACTTCATATAAACATTGTTTTGAAACCATTTATATTGCACTGAATTTCAAATGATACTGTTATTCACGTTCACATTTAAAGCGCAACATGCGTTAGCAATAGCTAGCTGTAGCATTTCTAGTGCAGCTGGGGCACTTTCTAAAGGAAAATGATATTTCTACAGGAATAATAAAGTTAAAGTCCCGTAGTCATCATCAGAGGCGGATTTAGCAATTTGGGGGCCCAAGGTGAACACAGACATTAATCTGGGTGCTAACTTTACTAGCATATTGTGCTAGCATTAGCGGGTCGGATGCTAATGCCCGTAAATCTAAAGTAAAGTTTGCCGACATTTTAGAGTGATATGAAGCTTACCGCTTTGCTGCTGTGTGTTGCTGCCACATTCAGATGGAAATGACTCATTTTAGACAAAGCACTTAGTACTAGCCACTAGCCTGGGAGACACGAACACACACGCACACACACACACACACAGAGAGAAACACACTACTTTTTTCTTCAGTTTTTTTTAGCAGTATTTTCATTAGCTTCTGGGTTTTAAATATGGCCACACCACCCTTCCTTAAAACCAGGAACAGTTCTGAGCTGTGTGTGGCTAAAATAACCAGACATTCTACATTTTTCCAATTGGACTACAAAAATCTTAGCGAGAAGAAAAAATGGCGGATTGGCTCTGTGTTTAGCCGGAGGGCCATGACCATATTTGGTAGTTATCGTGACAACATAAATTTCAGATGTATTAGGTATTTAAAAAAACTGAACGGGTGGACAAATATGCCGAAAACTTAAATATTAAATATCTAAATTGCAACTCTAGTGAACAATATCAGCTTTTATGCTCACTTGGACATTTAAAATATGAAACACACTGTGTTAATGGATAAAAATTGGGTTTTTCATGTTATGTGTCCTTTAACGTCTTTGTAGACCTTTTAAAAAGCCGACACAATATTTTTATCCTTTCCTGAGTAAATGTAAAGAAAAACAATAAATATACACAGTCACTCTTATCAAGTTGCAAGAATAATTTGGACCACGACAGCTTCTGGTTGAAACTTTTGGTCTGTGAGGGTGACGACTGTGACCCGCTGAATCAGTGCGAGTGTCACTGATGTGGAAAAAGGTGAAACATTGACCTGCTCTTCTACCTGGTTTTTGTTCCAGCAACACCGGCGTTTCATCTATGAATTGTGTTTTATTTGTTTCTCATCACAGTGGGGACACGCACGTGCTTTCGGTGCTCTGCTCCTGCTGAGTGCCTTCAGCCAGCTCTCATTTAGCCTCATTCATACATCCAGCGTCAGAGTAGCCCCTTCAGCATCATTGTGCTTTATGTCGTCGTGCTCCTCATCACTGCTGCTTTTATCACATGATTGTTCTCAAGCAGATTATCACAGTCACACTGATGATTATCACTGTGATCAGTTTGGCTGGCTTCTTTTATCAAGTGGCCACTGCATCTCTCATCATGACCTTCATCATCACCATCATCATCACCATCAGCAGATATGTATTTTCTTCATTTCTTTGGTTTGTGCTCTAGGTTATAGCTAATTACACCGACTATTGACTTTTATTTTTACATTAGGGACTATTTCTCGGCTGATTGTGAGATCTTTGTTTTTGTGTGCAGGATTGACTCTGAGAGAGAACGCCACCCTCCCGGACCCCGAAACCAATGAATCCTCCAACAGCAGCTCTGTTGCTGTTGCTATCCTCGTGCCTTTCTTCGCTCTCATCTTTGCAGGCCTTGGATTTTATCTCTACAAGCAGAGGTACATGCCGCCACGATAACCCTTTAAACTCCATAACACTGACTTTCAGCATCTTAATTTTATGTAGATGTGTGAGCACCCACAGCCAAAGCAAAAATAAAGCAGATAGTTGATTCTTGGAGCTTCTACAGCTTGCTGGTGCAGCAGTTCGACTCCTTGCTGGAAACAGTGGCGTATATGTGAGAGACTTCACAGCATGACGCAACCTTAGTCGATGTGTTACCATCCAAAGTTACACAGTCGCATACATCAGACCATTTTAATGAGAGCTACTTTGGTAGCATATGCATTGTGCTTTAGATGCATATTCCTGCTGCATTGTGCAGATGGAAGCATTTAGTCCTGATTAGATCCATGAGAAGTGTGTATGCAGAGTTTGAGACATGGATATTTCTGCTTTCAGTATGTTAGCTACTCCTGAAATAGCACGGGGCTACCTGGCCTGCTCTTTTCAACAATAATTACCTCACAGCCTCTTTTAGCTTTTGCAGCTGTCCACACTGAGATAATGGAAACATGTTTATGTGATTGGAAGAAGTGGCTGATAATTGGAGCCCTGCCTCTCAGCTAAACTCTGCCTTTTCTTTTTTATTCTACAGAAAAACGGATAAAGCGCAGTACACGGGATGTTCCGTCCACGAGAACAATAACGGACAGGCCACATTTGAGAACCCCATGTACAACACAAACACGAAAGCTGCTGAGGGGAAAGTCGTCCGCTTCGACCCCAACCTCAACACCATCTGCACCATGGTTTGATGTCTGCTGACTGACAGCGTAACGTGACGATAAAGTGGACAGAGACGATTTTCTCACTCTTTTGTTGGCACAGCAAACATACGGTTTTGCTCTAAAACACAAAGCACACTTTCTGCAATGATTAAAATTGTTGCAGATGACTGCATTCACCATAAAAGTTGAAAGAGAAAGGGTGGGCAACACCTTCTCGGATCTCATCTTTTTGCACTCTGTGAGTGTTGGCTCCTGGTTAAATAAATTCAAAAAGCTAAATTTGAGCTCAGTAGTTTCACTGTTAAAGGGGGTATTTCACAAAACCAAATAACATCACTTTTTTCTAAAAGCTTAAAAATAATTTTATCCTGACAGGATTTTCATTCTTTAATCAGTCCTGGTGAGAATTATGCTCCTTTATGGAGAATGGGAACTTCTGCACTGTGGGTTGATCAACGTAATCTGTTTTCTTTTTTCCGAGCAGTAAGCGAGAAGGAGGAGGCGGAGCCGCAGCGCCAGACAGGAAGCAGGCTCTCTCTCTGAATCGTGTCAGTCCTGTATTCTGTTCCGAGTTATACGGTCAATTATGTCTCTTAATTGGACGGTTCCTCTTACTGACGAGATATACGGCCGGGAGTTAGCTGCTGAAGTGAACCACAATTTTTCAAGCACCGCTGGGAACTCTAGGGCTTTTATTGTTACTGTGCAGGTTCTCTGACAACAGCAGAGTGTGTTTTCTTCACCAGAGATCCATTCTGCATCAGGTTTATTACCAAGTTGGGTGCAATCAGTTTGCTTTGGACAGATGCATTTGTTAGGCCTAACCCTTTGAATTTGCTGACTAGTCGAGTACTCTTTTATCTAGTCTGTTAGTCACCCGGAGACGCGCTTACACCAGAAAAGATTTTTAAAATTCACTAAACAGAAATGTTTTGGTTTCTGAATAACAAGTTTAGAGTGAGTAAGCCCAGCGTCGATCGTAAATCTCTAAGTAGGAGTTTTCTCGCTTGATTTTATGAAGTTTTATTTCACGACAAGTTCAAGAACATTTTCTGACAGTGCACAGAGCCTACAGCCGGCCAGATTTCCCAGAGGTTTATTTAAGTCTGGATGCACTAACACCAGTTCAGTATGTGTCGTGTTAACGTCTTGCTTTATGCTCATTAAAATTCTGAAATGCTTCTGCCTTATTTTAGAGTAAAGGACATACAGAGGTGAGAAAAAGTGCAACCACTTAAACTATTCCTAGTTTCTCGAGCTGTAAAGTGTATTTGTTTCTCTGATTTTCTTTGGGGGAGCTGTGCCTTAGACAGAGAACTCTTATTTAGCACTCCTACTCACAGCGCTTCATGAATATTTGGCCTTGGCCTCTTTTGTTCACCCTCTCCGACACGAGTCGTCTCCACGTCTCATCAGCTTCTGCCAACAAATGTACAGTACACACAAAAGAATTTGCACACTCGACCACGAGCCACCGTCACTCAAGACCAGCTGTGGTTTGGAAATGAAAAGACAAATTCATCGCTGTCATCACATTTCTACATCATTGCAGTGCCTTGAATCCTGTTTGGGCAGATGTTTTGAAGGGAAACGTTTATTTCATTTGTAAAACTGCACACTGGTGTAATTTCTCTGCAAAGTTTGCAATGATTTAGCAGAGTGATGTCAGATGGTTTCTGGAGAGAAGGCGAAAAGCAGCTCAGTTTCATACCTGTGCATGTCGGCAAACAGCGCTCTAGTACAGCAGTTGCTGCTATCCTACTTTGTATCCCTCTCTTGACTCATGTCATTGCCACTCCATTTTGTACATTTATACAGTTTTGATGCTCGATGGCACTCTTTGACGACGTCTTGTGTTATGGATATGTAATATATTTTGCGAGTTCACGTTTCTTATGGGTGAGAGCAGAAATGCACCAACAGAATACTTTGAGTCTGTCACCCAGAGGCTCTGGAGCAAAGTAGGAAACTTTTAAAACGTGCCACAAAATTGTTATCTCATTCAAGAACCCGTGTGTGTGTGTGTGTGTGTGTGTGTGTGTGTGTGTGTGTGTGTGTGTGTGTGTGTGTGTGTGTGTGTGTGTGTGTGTGTGTGTGTGTGTGTGAATATGTACATATTACATAACTTTTGTAAAGAGATCTATTTTTTATGCAGAGAAAGCATTTGTAAGTTATTGAATATGTTGTGTAAAATTTCACATGTAAATGTCATGTAAGATCAAAATAATTTTGTATTTTTTCTTTAATGACAATGTATAAAGTGTTCATTTATATTAAAAAACTTCAAATGATCAGGTTGTGGTGCTCTTTTGTTTTGGCTTATTTGATCTTTTTGTTGCTCAGTCATTCTGCACAGATTTTCTGATGCCAAACTGACATCAAACCAGTCGAGCGCAGTCTGCTCCTCCTAACGGAGTTTGTTCACAGAGCTATTTATAACAGGGAGAAACATCAGAGCCCATCAGAATTCCTCCGGTGTCCCTGTTCTGCGTCTTTTAGAGATTCCTCCTGTTCATCACGTCTGATTTTATTCAGCGTATGATTAAAGATCAAGTTTACTAATCTTTTAACACATCTGCAGTGGTTTCTAGTAGGAATTACGGCCTTCTAATTGTTTTCTGAGCAAACAAAAGCTCAGATTCTCTTGTTTGAGGACGTAGAGCTGGAGGAGAAAGTAGCTTCAGACGTCTTAGAGGTCAGGACTCTTAGACCAGCCGATACTCCACACCAAACTCGCTCATCCTGTATCAGAACACCTGAATTCATTGATTTAGTGGATTTCCTAATACCTTTGGGATTGTGTGCGAGATGCTCACAGATTTTCCACAGACACCTACTGGAAAGATCTGACATGTAAAAATATATGAAAAAGTGCTACAGTTTGACTTTCTGTCATTTGTATATTCACACGACAAACTGGTGCATTTGTCAGCCCAAGCTGTTCTTTGTTTCCAGGGTGACTGGAGTTTTGCTTTTTCTGCCTACATGGTGACAAATATCTGAAATGTTGGAAAGAAACAAAGATAAAATATTCTCTTTATTCTTTCTTATCTGCTTTTCCAGATGAATAGTTTTCTTCATGAACCACCTGTGATGATGGGAATTCAGGTGCTACAGACACGAAACAGGAGTGAGGTGCAGCTTATGTATAACATCATAGATGAGACATCTTAACAGGACAAAGGACTTGCCTGGCCTAAGAGGACATGTAGATATAAATGTAAAAGAAGTTACTATGTTTAACGAGCGTGTGTGTAGAGTCCACTCATCCTGGATTAAGACCTTGACATGTTCTTCACAACCTGCATGACTTGTTAGCATGCATGAGTTAGAGGAACCACCAATGGAGCCATCCAGGTCCCTGAACGATGTGGGCTTTCTGTTGTCATGGAGACTAAAGAGGCCATGGCATGCAACTCATTGGTGTTGGCATGGAGGACTTTGCGTTAAATGTGTATAAATCACACTGTGGGTTGATCTCACAGACTTTCATATCTTGTATCACTGCAATACGCGGCTGCTTTATCCTTTCATTCCTCGACCACCCTGGTACTGCTACTGACTTGCTTGGCAGCCCGGAGGTGTGACAGCAGTGGCTTCACTTAAAAGACCACATTGCTTTGTGTCCTCTCAGAGTGAACACGAAGACGACCAAGGTGTTTTATGAGGAGCCACAGAGCACCGTTTCTGTGTGAAGATGATCATAAAGTAAAAACTCTCATTACAACATTGTTGTGATGTCTGTCACCTCGCATGTCAGCTGCCCTTCACCCTAACAGCTGATAACATGGTGGAGTTGTAGCCAAGACACGAGGCTCACACGGTCAGGCCTGAGCCTGGACCAAGACCCAGTGACCCAGGGCTCGCATTTGCTGCTAGGATCAGGAAAAGACATCATGACCTCAGAGCAGAACTGTTGCACCTGCAAAACAACGTCAACCTAGCCTGTAGCATTGCTAATACACACCTCATGACCTCATCAAGACCCTGGAAAGGGCACACCACAGGTGTTGGCCATTTGAATAAACACTATTCAAGCAAGGTCTTCACCTTGGCTGAAATAAAGCTTAAAACATCAAATTTAGAGTCAAATTCATCTGAATTTAAAGTTATAAAACGGAGAACATTTCTGTCTGCCTGGGTGGATATGTGCCGTCGAGCTACCATCATCGTAAAGGTCAGAGTGTTTTAGGGGAATTTGTTATGGATTGACCTAAATCTACCTTCAGTAATCACAGAGAAGACGACCAGAAATGGGACAGAAGTAAGAGGGTAACGCGTGAAAAAGAGCAGGACAGTCAAACGTGTGAATGATTTCAGGCTCAGGTTAAGCACATCCTTAATCTCTAAGCCTGGGATTTGTGTGTGCTTTAGTAATATTTACCAGGAGGATTTTCAGTTGAAATGACCCAGAAGCTCCTCTAAAGGGAGAGTGATGTAAGGTTAGCTGGGGGCAGGTTGGGGTTGGCAGCGAGCTCATGGTGTTTTCTCTCAGTGAGTGTGTGCTCCTTGTAAAACAACACAGACTTGACCTCTGTTTGTTCCTGGAACAGCACGCTGCTTCATTAGCATCTGGGTTTCTGTGTCATGAAAGCCTCTGAGGGGCTTCTCTGGTGCTCGTCGGCAGGTTTCTGCTGCTGATTTTGCACCATGTCATGCGTACAAATGTCCCGTAGAGATCTGGTGACTAAGCAGGATGGTGCAGTAAGCTGATTTCACCATCCTGCTGCATTTGTGGGTCTTGTGGTGTTTGATTTTCTCCACCAGTCACATGCAGTTTGTTGAAACCCACGAGCGGTTTCAGTGAATGGATGTTCCTTGCTGCCTCTGATCTTTGAATTCCCTCCTGGCACTCCTCTTTTGGAGCTGGACATGTACCTTAAAATCATGCACGTACATTGGTGTGGACTCATTGTATCATAGGTGTGGATTAAATGCTAGATTTGTCATGACAGAGTGAGTGTTTTTTACCGTGACTGAGCAATGAGGATAAAACCCTCCAGCAGGTGTTCTGCTGGGCTTAACGTCTGCTGTTTGCAGAGAGAGGCACAAGTTGCTGGTTTTCCTCCCCAGCGCATGTCAAAGCATAATGACTTGTGTGTGTGTGTGTGTGTGTGTGTGTGTGTGTGTGTGTGTGTGTGTGTGTGTGTGTGTGTGTGTGTGTGTGCGTGCGCACATGCACGCTTTCATGGATCTTTTGGCCCTAATGTGCCGGACTGTCAGTTGACTAACTAGCCGCTTTCTTGGTGTGTATTTTAGCTTTTCACTAATGAGCCATTTTGCTCTGCTCTCACTGGCCAGATGTCCTCGGGGTGGTGGACTGTTCATGAATCCCACCGGAAGCTGTTGAGAAAAGAAAACGCCAACGTATGACTATTAAATGCAGGTAAAGTGCTCAGAATTTAAAGGGAAACAGATCTGAATTAATTTTCTCAGCATATTCATGTGTGTGTGTGTGTGTGTGTGTGTGTGTGTGTGTGTGTGTGTGTGTGTGTGTGTGTGTGTGTGTGTGCACGCGTACATGCACGCTTTCATGGATCTTTTGGCCCTTTTGTCCCTAAACTACAGGGACATTTTCGTTAATCTCACTAATGCAATTCATGCAAAGGTTACTAAATGTTGTGTAAAAAGGATTTTATGTTCTTTGGAAGAGAGGGGCCAAAGAGTAGCATAGTTTGATCTACTATTTTTAATCTTGAAGTGGATGAATAATGTAAATTCTTTCATTACCATTTAAGCAAAATCAATTTTTAACCCTCAGTTAAATTGCTCTGGCTCTGGGAAATAAGCCACAGTGGGCCAGGGAAGTCCTTATCTGGTAGGAATGGAAGGGTGTTAAATGGAGGTCAAAAAGCATGAACAAAGCTATCATTAAAGGAACTGAAGGGGCTGTGTGTGTGTGTGTGTGTGTGTGTGTGTGTGTGTGTGTGTGTGTGTGTGTGTGTGTGTGTGTGTGTGTGTGTGTGTGTGTGTGTGTGTGTGTGTGTGTGTGTGAGTGCGTGCGTGCGTGTGCGTGTGTGTGTGTGTGTGTGTGTGTGTGTGTGTGTTTAAGGGGCTAGGAAGACAGGATTGCTGTTGTATTTTCTCAACATGACTGAGTTTTGGACACACCAGTTAGATGATTAATCATCGTGCAGATATCATAAATCATAAGGAAGATGCATTATGATGATCATCATCATCCTGAGTCCCAGAGGTCTGCGGCACACCTTGAGCTCCAATAAAATATATCTAGATGGATTTGTGTTACTGGACTTTCTAACCTTGAAATGCACCAAAAAATAAAAATAAAAGAGCGGCGTAGTGTGGCAGCCTGAGAAATATCCCTGTGGTTGCCAAAGTAGGACGGAAAGATATCATTCTCTTTTTTTTTACTTACTGTGGGGTTGCCAGGCAGCTGGAGACTCAGGAGAAAATCATTGTTACTGACAGAAACACAGATTGCTTCCAGAAGGAAGAAATGTTGTTGCTCATACATTTTATGCTTGTCCCCTTTTCTTCAGCCCGTCTTCGATAAGCTAAGTAATCTGGTGTCTCCTCCGGAGCTCACAGACCTGAGATCACACCGCCATCCACATCCCATGAAGTGTTATTCCCAGTTTAGAGTCCAGAAGAATAAACTTAACACCTGATTTGGTTTAGTCATTTACTTGTTTTTACATCTTGTTGTATTTTATATTTCAAATGTATTCATGAGCAGAAAAATGACAAAAGTACTTAGAAGTTTATTCTCAGCGTGTGTCGCAGCCCCTATTGAGTCGACACAATTGTTTTTTAAAACGTGGATTTTGTAGCAATTTAAAAACAGGAAAAAGTCAGATAATAAATATATTTAGTTTCGTCCATATGTCTGCGCTGCACAGACATATTGACCTGATGTGTTACTGCATGCATCATAATGATTCACATTAAATCACTGTTGAGAGGTGGACCCCGGCAGCCAAATACCTGCTCAGATTATTGGAGCAGGAATGATTGTGTTCTAGCTGTTGCCTTTTTAAGAGAAGGAAACATGCTTTTCAGACACCGTGTGAGAATGTTTCTGAACAAACCCCTTAGATGTTGTTATTCACTCCTTCTGGTGGAAATGCAGATGGAAAAATTCAATTCAAGTTTATTTATATAGCGCCAAATCACGACAAGCATCGTCTCAAGGCACTTCACGTAATAAACTTTCCAATACAGATCAATTCATTAAGCCAATCAGAAAAAAGTATCCTATATAAGGAACCCAGCAGGTTGCATCGAGTCACTGACTGTTACAGCAATCATCATACTAAGCAAGCATGCA